ACGAGAACAAGGTGTGTATGTGTGTAATTATGGCATCTTCCAAGTTTGTGGTAAAATTGAATCACACCCACAAAATCTGTTAAAACATGTTGTAGTAAATTTTCTTTTGATATTTCTTTAATGTAATCCATCATAATTCTTATTTCAAAGTAGCAGATTTTTTTATTATTATTGTGTAATAGTTTGAAAGACACTTACATTTCACACAATAACAATGAAGAGTCAAGGTAGTTATCTTTGTTTGATTTCATTCTTTTTTATTTATTTTTGTTAAATAATATTCAAATATTAAATAGTTTAAAATATTATAATAATTTTTAAGTTGTTTATTTGCTACTTTTAATGCTTTTATTATTAAAAAAAAACATGCATTTCTTTATAGACTATTCAAATCTTATGCTGAATTTTGTCTTTAAATGAATAAATATTTTAAATTAATAAATAATAATAATGATTATTATTATTATCAGTTGGTGTCAGTCAGTTACCAGAGCACCGCTCGTGTTTCTGTCAGTGCCGCGGCGAGCCGTAAGGGTCATTAAGTGTCTTCTAATGGCAGGCAGAGGTCAAGGAAGTTAATCGGAGTTGATGGAGGGGCCCTCTGAGTGACAGTCCTAAGGGGCTCACCTCTTAATCTCTGTCTGTGTTTTAGTACTCTTTACCTACACAAAGCAAATAGCACCCTCCCTCTCAATGGGGACCAGCCTGCTCCCAGTCTAGCATTTCTGACCTGTGGGTCGCGCCCTTTGTTCCTGTCTCTACAGAGGCTGACCTCAGATTTCACCTCTGTAATTGAGGAGTCCTGTAGACACGTGCCCACGGGGGCCCAGGAGAGACCACCACCGCTGCAAGCTCACTGCTACCTCTGCGCCGGAGGAAAGGGGTGTCTGAAAATATGATGTTGGCCGATCAGATCTTGCTATGGTTTTCTGATCATTTCCCAGCTGTTGTGTTTTCTGTCATGTTGTGCAAATGCTGCTTAATTGGCTTAAATATCTTCTACACATATACTATGCCTTCACAAATCCATTTGGTCATGTGTATGTGGGCATATTTTTTATTGAATATTAATTATTCTCTCTGTATATGTAAACTCTAGACCTTTTGCGAAAGATTTAGACGCTGATGGACATTTCAGATCTTAAACATGTTGCTTTTTCTGTGGAAGTACAACTCTCGTTTGATGAACTAGGCCACCAACTAGGATTGAAATGCTTTTTAATCTGCGCCAGGCATTTCTTGTGTTTTTTAATAAATGTTTTGCTTCATGGGAGTGTTATGTTGTCTATATTGAGACACTGCTGTTGTTTTTGTTTGTTTTTGCTGTCCCACAGCTCTGATGAAAGATTGTAGGTTAAAGAAGCTCATGTTATTAGTTTTTACTCATTGCCCTCTCCACAAAAGCATAATTATGGGTGGACAATTGCAGCTCGGTGATGTGCATGTGCAACACATGGTTGCAAATTCCTTTCGATGCTTTTTTAAGTTTTTCTAGTTGATTGTGCTGGAGACCCTGATGTTCATTCGGGAGGAAAAGAAAATATACTCTAAAGCTCCTACAGACGGTTATTAGGATCTGTGAGCTGGCGAATGGCTTTACATTGTTTACGTTCGTTTACTTCATTATTTTATTTTGTGCTTTTGACGTCCGCTTCAATCTCACATTTAGGTCTGAAAGGGTTAATGTGCATTTTCATATTTAGTAAGGTATTTTTTGACACATGCATTAATGTTTGGAGACCATTTTGTTCTCTTTGCTTCAGTTTTGATATTCGATCAATGTAATGTCATCAAAAGATAACATTTTTTGTGAAATCATGTCAGATGCACTTATTAAATGTTGACATTTGGAATAAGTGATCAGCCCGCTGTGCTTTTTAAACTTGCGAAGACAGCGACCTTAAACCTCCTTGTAGCCATTATTGCTCTCTGGTAACTTTAACCCCAGAAAACATACACGCTTTTCAAATCACATGAGAGTCTTTTTAAAATGATCTCAGCGATGGTGCATTAAAGTGCTCTGAGGTTGAGCCCTGAAAAGTACCATAAAGAATTTGTTTTGATTGGCGTTTGATCATAGTCTCTGAGCCTTGTGAAGGATGGGGCCTTACAGAACAGCTCACTGTTTGGGAGTTGGCAGCCGACCCAAAACCAAAATTGTATCCTCAAATGAACTTTAATGCAACGTACAACACGTGCGCCAAGTCCCGACTCCCTGCTCTCAGGTCCTATAGTAAACAAGCAAGAAAATGAGCTCCTGAGAATCAACAACAGAGAATGAGAAATAAAACAGATAATGTGTTACAAGAAAATGAGAAGCGCAATTTTTGATGCACACTTTCTCATGTGAGGTGCGCCTTCTTCGTGATTGGCCGGCAGACGTGGCGCAATGTGACGTGGGCGTACCTTGTGCCACAGCGCGACCTGTTGCCATTAGGGAATCGGACTCGGGGAAAAAAAAGGGGATGAGCACTTGGAATTTGATTTAGCTGTAACTGTTGTATATGGGTGCGACTCGGCCCAGATTTGGTGTTGAATTGAGGGTGTGGTGTGCAGTATGTAGGAACCGAGTATGTATGTGTGTGAGAGTGAGTGTGTGTGTGTATATGTGTGTAATGAGAGGTCAGTGCCATGAGGGAGCCAGAAAGAGGAGGCCGAGAATGAGGCAAGGAAATCTGGGCGGACCGGGTGCTTTCGGTCCCTCCTCCACATCAGTGTGTGTGTGTGTGTGTGTGTGTATCTGTGTGTGACAGCCTGATGAGCAGCAGCACCCTCAATGCAGCCATGTTTGCTGGTCGGTGAGCATGCTTTTATCAACTCTTTAGTTCACTAAATGCAGAAAAGGTTCGTGATACAGTCCGAGGAACAGGAGCTGGCGCAGGCCCCTCACTAGCACGTTTTGGTATGTGTTTTTGTATTCTCTTTGGGCTCGTTCGCAGTAGAGAGATCATCTGTTTGAACTTGTATTTAATCGCCACATTGATTAACCACAAAAAAAGTTTTGCACTCGACAGTACTGGCATTTTTACAAGAGCGCGTAATAGCCACACAAAGAATTGTTGGTAAAATAAGCCACAGAATAACGAAATCTTGAGTTAGTTTTTTTGCATCCCCACCACCAGATTGCCTCACAAATTATTTCTGGTTCAAAAGGGAGGCTTGACGGAGGTGCACCCTAAAAGATCGAAAAACATGATTGGCAGCGTGCTCTGCTAATTATTCCTTCACTGGGCAGATTCTCAGCTAGGCCACGGCTGCAGTGTGTATGTGTGTGTGTGTGCAGTCAGTGCAGAGGAAATCTCCCTGCAAATTGCGACAGTTGTTTCACCTTAACACTGTCTCACCCATACGTCTGACACTTCTCGACTCCTACTCGGGACAGTGGGATGTACAAAGACACCCCAACATTTGCACATTCTACTTTTCCCAGAACCCTCCATCATGGTATAGTCGTCTTTTAACTGCTGACTCTTTAACTGTTTCTCGTTTCTGATTGATAGCTATTCAGTGCTTTCGAGCCAGAGGACAGCTTCAAGGATCGAGTTTGGTCTTGGCGGCAGAGCGCCTGCGCGTTTGGTAAATTGTGTTTGAATGGTTCGTAACGGGTGTGAGCGTATGTTTGTGTGCACTCTCCGGGTGAACCGGAGTCTGTGTCACGCCTCTCTTCAGCCCTCCCTCCCTCCCTACTTGAGCTCTCGCTCACTGGCTGGAGCGATGATTCAAAAAAAAAAAGATTGCTCGCGTACTCCACTGCCTCTCGGTTTCATCATCAACTTTTTTCCCTGTACTTCAGTTTTCCCTCTCTCCTCTAATTCCCTCCCTTTCTCTCTCTCTCTCTCTCTCTCTTTCTCTCTGTGCAGATAGAAATTTTAAAAAGCCTCTGCCGCTGTTTCCACAGTTCAGTCTCCTCCCCTTCACCCAGTCTGTGCCAAGAGAAGGAGGGATTTCTACTACTCACAGGATTTTAACCCTGTAGCACAACCGATTGGCTCAAGCTGCTTCTCTGCCGCTTCAGTTTTTCCAGCACGTCTTTTTCTCCACTTCCCTAAACCTGGTCGCTGTATTCTTCTGCGGTTTCGTCACCTCGAGACTCTTTCAAACGGAGCATTTACGGCAGCCGGAGGTGTGTGGCATTTCTCATCCTCGCCAGGGGTTAACGGATCCTTTCCGTTGCTGAGCTTTGAAAATGGCTGTATTCTCCCTGCTTGTTGCGTGTCTCGGAGAAGGGAGGCGCCTGGGGTCCTATCACTTTAGCACCACCCTCTCTCTCTCTTTTGCCTTCCCTCTCTCATACGCACACATACAGTTGGTGTTGAAAGGAGAGCGGGAGGGTGGTGCGGTGTCAGAGCTTTTTCTGGGACAGGTGCCAATTCCACACAAAAGACATAAAAAGGCAATGAGTGAAAGATGCCTCGATCGTAAGAAAGAAATATGTTTCACGATGAAACGAAAGAAGTTTGTGGCGACCGTGTGCGCGTTCGGCTGAATAGAAATGTTTGAAGCTAAAATTTGAAATACTTTTCTTCTGTCTCTATCTCTCTCACAACACTCTCTCGCTCTTCTGGCGCTCTTCAGTGGCGCTCTTACAGTGAAGGCATTTCAGTCATGGGGGGGTGAAAAGGGGAGGGGGCTCGGTTTTCAAGCTCCTGAATTATTCATACGCCAGGCCAACGCTGCGATCGGACTGACTGGGACATTAACATGCAGTGGACATTCTGTTTGTAACATTCCTCATTCAAAGACTTGTTAACTGCAAGACGGGTCGACACACGTGTCTCTCGGGCTGCTATTGTGGCCAGGGCCCAGTCGTCCCGGACTAGGGGACCACAGGCAGACGTGTAGCCCGGTGCTGGGGACACGCAGCTGGGGTGGGAGGATTGGCTTGGCCCCCCGGCCTACCTCCTTTGGTCCTTGTGCCTGCTGTTGAAAGCTCACTGCCTCTTCTTCTCCTTCTCTCTCTCTCTCTCTCTTTCTCTCTCTCTCACTCTCCTTCAACACAGGGCTGGTGAAGTGAGTAGAAACGGCCTTCAGCACTTGTCCTGGACTGTTTCTGTCTACAGACACATGTCAATGTTATCGGGTAAGTTGCGAATATTTGCGTTTTATGTGGTATTTGTACATATTTAGTTTGTTCTTCGTTTCTCTGATATATTTCTTGATTTTTTTTTTTGTCTTTAGAATGTGTGTGAAATATTTTTGTTATGGTTTTATAGTTTATACGAAAAAAAGCGTTTAATAAACGGTACGATTCCTAAAGAAAATGGCGTAGGTGGTATGTAAAGGCAGTTCATATCAGCGCCTAACAAATAAGATGTGCCTCTGTACATAGTGAGGAAGTCGACCTTCCACAGTGCATAGTTTTGGGGCTAATGTTTTTGTGAGTGAGAAGACATATTCTTTTTGGAAGTAAGAGTTTTAAATCGTGTTATCAGAAAAAGGTTTTCACTATTCAACCTTTCATTTTCTGATGCCTTTGGTGTGTGTTTCCTGGAGCACTTCAACGTAGTGAATGGACATCAGCTATTTGGGCCTTGTGTTTGATTATCACGTTGTGTTGTCATTCATCTTATGAACTGTTCATTGCGATTAATATTTTTTGTAGTTTTTATATTATTATTGAATTGTAACACAGACGCTTATGGATAGAAGCATTGTATATGCCACGTCAGAGCTTAGTTTGCGCAGTTTTGCATTAAAATTATAATATATGTGATGGTACTTTCCGTTAATTATGTAAATGTAAATCTCAGAGTTGTTCTTTCATTTTTTTTTTTATAGTTTTTTGTTTTTTGGATGCTTAATATTGATAGGTTTGACAAAAATGTAAAGGCATGCAAATTCAACTCAAATTCATGTCATTTTGACTCATATATATCATTGTTTAAATGTACACATATTTAAATATATCGAACATGACCGCATTTCATTTTAATTCAGTAGAGAACAATTTCTGCAATTTTTATACAAATTTTAACCTAGGAATATGCATATTAGTTGTACATTTAAAAGAAGCATTTGCTCAATCTGAACCATTTATGTATTATTTTAAGGCTTTTATTTAAGAAATACATATTACATAAAGATGTCTTATGAAATTTTCTTTTTTAGAAAAGAAATTGCCATCCCAGTGTTCTTTTTTCTGTCACACACACACTCTCTCTCTTTCTCTCTCTCAAACACACACACACACACACACACCCTCTTATTGCCCTCTTAAAAGTAAATGATCTATAGGTAAAATCATATTTATTGAATCGCTGAGAATTCAGAATTTAACAGCTGACTGCAGTGTGATATTTAATTATCATTTTACATAAAATAGCATTGTGTTTGCTCAATTCATGTCATGTAGAATTTACAGGGCATAAAAGTAAACAGTTGTGTTTCTTCGTTCAAACGAATGATTTTGGCTCGTAGTAGGCTGTTTAGTAGTACGAGTGAGAACACCAGGGGCAGTGCTGATGAAGTGTGTTGGCACAGAAAATGCACGTTGGTTGGCAGTGCCCTCCCCCACCCCTTTTTTGGTTGTGAATGGAGTGTTCCAGAGATGATGTATAGTGCAAAGAACAGAGCAGGTGGCATCATCTAAATTACGAAGAGGGGGGTTGGCATAGGAACGGAGATTTTCAGGATAAACGTACTCCTTTTAGTTATTTATACCAAAGATTTTTGCTTTTTTTTGTATGAAAATGTTTATGGTTTTGACACAAATGCTGACTAGTTTATGTCGTAAATTAAGAAGCAATATTCTTAAAAATGAACAGAAAATTACAGTTTTAAGGATTAGGATTTTCTGGGATCTTTTTTCTAAAATTTTGTCGTGAAAATAGAAATGCATGTGTGTCAATCTGTGGCGAGGCATTCCCAGACATGCTGAAGTGCAGCGAGCATGTGTGCACTAACTGAGACACCCGCCCTCGCTGTCACGTACAGACATACACACACTCTCTCACACACACCCAGACACACTTGCAGCCATGTGCTCCATAATAGACCCCTGATTCAGCCCTGAATAGAGTTCCCACGCCTCAGTGTGTGTGTCTGTAATAGTTAAGGGTGTAGACCCCCCCACGCCCACCCTTTTCAAAAGATACTTGTGTACTCTCTCTCACACACACACACACACACAGTCTAGACTAAAGATGTCTCCTTCATTCTGTTTCGAGGTGTATTTTAACAGCTACACACTGTGAATTGATAATTAGTTCATTTCGGATAAAATGCACGTTGGTTGGCAGTGCCCTCCCCCACCCCTTTTTTGGTTGTGAATGGAGTGTTCCAGAGATGATGTATAGTGCAAAGAACAGAGCAGGTGGCATCATCTAAATTACGAAGAGGGGGGTTGGCATAGGAACGGAGATTTTCAGGATAAACGTACTCCTTTTAGTTATTTATACCAAAGATTTTTGCTTTTTTTTGTATGAAAATGTTTATGGTTTTGACACAAATGCTGACTAGTTTATGTCGTAAATTAAGAAGCAATATTCTTAAAAATGAACAGAAAATTACAGTTTTAAGGATTAGGATTTTCTGGGATCTTTTTTCTAAAATTTTGTCGTGAAAATAGAAATGCATGTGTGTCAATCTGTGGCGAGGCATTCCCAGACATGCTGAAGTGCAGCGAGCATGTGTGCACTAACTGAGACACCCGCCCTCGCTGTCACGTACAGACATACACACACTCTCTCACACACACCCAGACACACTTGCAGCCATGTGCTCCATAATAGACCCCTGATTCAGCCCTGAATAGAGTTCCCACGCCTCAGTGTGTGTGTCTGTAATAGTTAAGGGTGTAGACCCCCCCACGCCCACCCTTTTCAAAAGATACTTGTGTACTCTCTCTCACACACACACACACACACAGTCTAGACTAAAGATGTCTCCTTCATTCTGTTTCGAGGTGTATTTTAACAGCTACACACTGTGAATTGATAATTAGTAGAAGTTCCAAGGGCGGAATTTAACGCAGGATGTGACAAAGCGATCGAAAAAAATTAGAAGACTCAGATTCTAATAAATGTCACCTAAATATTTACGGATGTTTTTTTTTTTTTATAATTTAAATTTTCAGTTTAATCTATAGCTTTTACAAACCCTGATCACTTTTTTTTTTTCATTCTGATGGCTGTTGAAATTTCAGCTCAACAACATAAGATGATTTGCACTAAAAAAGGAAATACTTAAGCATTCCCAAAGATACAGTACTGTTCTTAATGAATTCATGACTTTACATGTATGTTATTGTTACATGTCTCAAGCCAGGTAAATTGTTGAATATTAATTGGTGTATTTTTAAATATTTCAAATTGTGTAATGATCCAAATGCAGGGAATGTATAATTATTAAATGGCACATCCTTTTTTGTGTAAGTTTAAAAGAAATAAATGTGCAGACAAATACAGTTATAGATAGATAAGATGTAAATTATGTTTGTGTATTCTTTTGAACATTTTCTATTTTTATCAAGCATGTATAGATTTGTATTCTCAGGAATTAGTGGTTTATGTTATTTTCAATATCATTAGGATAACAGCAGAAAAGCTGATGGACACTCGCATATCGGTGTGTTTGTGTCCAGTATTTTAAAATGTTTTAACCATTTTTATGAACACGTATATTTGTTTCCTGTGTTTTTTCCTCAGAAAACATTAGTTTCATTGTCATTAGTCAACATAATTTGAAAACGATTATTTCACATGAATATTAAGATTAACCTAAATAACTCTAATTTTAAAAAGTTCTTAGCGTGTTTTAAATATTTAAATTAGCGTTTGAAGGCATTAAAGAAGTTGGAGTGATTATTGATTATGATGAGGTGTTTATATTTTTATGATTTTCATGAACACAATTTTTTTCTAAATATTAGAAATATTATTTGCAGTATTGCTAATATTTTTGTGTTACTGTTAAATCTATTTAATTTTTTAATGAAAATAGACGAAAGAAAAATTTATCTTTTTTTGTGTTTTTCATGAACAAGTATGAACAAGATGACCATATAATGCAAAAATGTTTTTGAATGAATCTGTATGTATAACTCTAAATAAACTATTATTTAATTTTTTAACCACTGCACATTTTTTTTTAGTAATTGGTTATGATGGCAGAAGTAGACAGGCATGTTTTTCTTTACAATAAAGATCCTAAGCCAGTACACTCCTATAGACACTATTGTGAAGTGAAAAGGGTAAGGAGTGGAGGACTGTTGGGTCATTTGGGGATAGCAGTTCTCAACTAACTTGTTTCCCATGGACACAATAGGAGCCAGACATGATTGGCAGGTGACAAAAGATGGGGTGGAGCGGAGTAATTGTTCAACACTAAGATGATGCCATGGGCAAGTCTTGAGACCAAGAGCCGCTTGCAGTTTTAGCAAAGACTTGTGTGCTGTTGTGTGATTGTGATGCTTTGTGCTTTTTGTCTTTCTAAAATTTATATTCACTGCATTTAGGATTTTCTATCAAAATGAACTATTTTTCATAAATGCAACAAAATAAGTACAAGTAGCCATGACCTGCCCAGACAAAGCAGAATAACATTATGATACCGATCACTCGTGTAATCTGCGGTTTAAAGTTCAAGCTCAAATCCATTACAGACATTGTATTCACACTCTGTTGTAATCAGTCTGAGATATCTCTCCCCCTCCGGCAAGTCACATGAGGTCTTTTTTTTTTTTCTTTCACTGATTTTCTTTGAACAGACATATAATACAAACACAGAAGATGGCTTTGCTTTGGGAGCGATAAAACAGCCAGAGCTTTATTCTGTCAATCAACGGTTCTTAAATCTTGTAACAAAATGTTGCTTCAAAGATCGTGCAATCAGGTTTCTTTGTCGTATAACTTGTTTATGTCTGCAGTACTGACACTGAGCAAATAGGGATATAAACAAAGCGTAAATGAGCCGTACACCTAAAAGTCAAACGATGATTAATGAAAATAAGAATCTCTATGTTAAACAGCCCCTCTGTATACTGGACCTATTGTCACTGAATGGCGAAAAACTGTGAGGGAATATGGCATCAGCGCCACCTTATGGCTGTTAGCTACTCCACCAGCTCTCAAAAGTTCCAGTAATTCAAGAAAGTAACGATCTATGGTTTGTTTCACCACTAATGTAAACTACAACCTGATTGCTTTTATCAGTAGCAATGTTTCTAATACTCTGGTAATGTTCTTAATATGTTAGTAATCAAATGAGTGTAAATTGCTTGGGTGGTTTTGCGAAATATATTTGAAGACACTCAATAAATAATTGCTTTTAGGAATGGAGTTTCAGAATAACAACAACTTTAATACACTGATTCTGAGTGAAAGTATCATCTCACAACAACATGTTTAGTGCCTTGGTTTCCTTGGCTCTGTCCATTTCTCTGTGCATCGCTGTCTCTTTTGGAGTCCGATCCCAGCTCTGCTGTAAATGAACCAGCTTTAGATGAAGTACAGCAGGCTGTTTTCCAAATGGACATGTCAGCTCTGCAGTCAGTTCTTCTCTTTCCCGTAGAAAACCATGAAGGCCATTGACCATGACATGTTTGGACATACTTAATTAGTCATATTGGCTCTTAGGTGAGGTGTCACTGTTCCAGTGACAGAAGGAGGTCAATTCATGTAACTGTGTGATGTGTTAGAAATGTTTGAGAAATGCTTTTGTTACATTTGATTCATTTTGGAAAAAAAATCAAACAATGCAAAAAATCAACTCAATCATTTCAGTTCATTTGAAAACAAGTCTAAATATATCTTTTATCTTAATATCTTCTTAACCTGAAAATGTGTGTGAGTAACCACTCGCCCCTGTGAGGTTCGTGGCCTGTGTGAGTCAGCAGTGTGTGTGTGTGTGTGTGTGTGTGTGTGTGCCTCTTACTTGTCTGAGGTAAACCACACTGCTGCCCACAACCTTACTCACTCACTTACGCTGAACCCACCCGCTCTGACCACACACACGCCAGTTCCCAAACACCCCCGTCCTAATCCGCTCATGCACCCCTGTATACTGCCAGGGTCAGCAGTAGACAGACTTACAGCACAACAGATGACACAAGTCAAACACGACATGGAGCTGATGTAGTGACTTGAGTATGGGAATTTCGTGCCTGAATAATCCTCTCTCTCATTCTTTCACAGATAGCAAACCCAGGAAGTGACTATCTACTTTTCTCATGTTGGTGACCTTGATGGTTTTGAAGGATCCCTGACTGAAGCTTTGGAGACAGAGGTGATAGGGGCTGTATTTAGTGCACAGCAAAGAGTGTTGTATGACAAGCAGTTTAAGCCCACAAATTTACACTTCACTTCACATATTTGTGTCTTTCATCAGTAATGCTGTCAGTTACTGTCATGTGATTTGTTAGATACTGTGCAGTTATTAGGCATTTTGTTAGAAAAAAAAGAAGGTAAACAGGAAATGGAAGATGCTGTTGCAGGAAGAGGAAAAGAGAGACTGTCGTTTGGGGTGAGGTAGTAGGTTGTATAGTTTGAGGGTTTAACCCTTGCTGTCAGATAACTATACAACTTACTGTCTTTCCCGAAGTGACCGTAGTGCCATCACATGGAGGACGTCAACAGGAAAGAAGAAATAACACATTTCCAGCTTCCAGCATTAATGTGTGTTTATCAAAAATATGCTTTTATTCTTGATGCAGGCTTAAATGTTTATCAGATATTTACAATAAAAGAATTTAAAAACACGATTCATGCCATACTGTTAGCATAAAAAAAAAAAAAAAAACTGATTAAATTTGTGTTAGAAACGCATTAATGCAGCTTTGTTTTTGCTGCATCACATATTGTTCAAACATTCACATGAATCCATAAAGAGGGCAGTATATGCTGATAGTGATGATAACAATATGGCAATTTTAAATGAGATTGATGCTGTTGAACATAATTCATTCTGAAACATCCTTGAAATCTCTATTCTTTCTTGTATTGGCGTATTTCCTTCTGAAACAGAAAGTTTGAGTGGGGCATATTTAAGGGCTCATCCCTTTTCATCAAATAGCCAATAGCCTTCAGTTACATCACAGTCATGACTGAGTTTGATTGGACAAAATCAGTGTAGTGTAGCTGGTGTCAATTTTTTTGGAAGAAACAAAAGACTAAACTGTCTTCTAGGAATACAGAAGCATGTGTGTGGGAACTGTAAAACTTCAAAACAGTATATATACAATATATATACTAATATAAAAAGGTATACGTAGTATACGGTATTACTGATAAGAATTCAAAAGGCAAAAATGTGTCATTGTGTTGTTGCGGATTATTCAGCAGTGATGTTCGTACAGGGTGAGGTAGTAGGTTGTGTGGTTTCAGGGTTGTGTTTTTGCCCCATCAGGAGATAACTATACAACCTACTGCCTTCCCTGAAGGGCAGCAAAACATCGCCAGACAGTTCACCCACTCTATGAAGAGTGATTTCCTTTCGCATTTCTTAAATATTTTAGTTTCCCAAGATTCTAATTATGATGATCTTGCCATTAATAGCTGCATGAGGATTACATACAGCACAGGTGTGTAATACTTTAAACAGGAATAAACAGTTTGATATTTCAAAGATTGCCTGTTTTATTCATTGCCTCAAGCATTGGTATTGACGTTTATTAAGGATAAAGGCAAAATAATCTCGTAAGAAATATCTATGAGAAATCTCTATGAGTTAAAGGAATAGTACACTCAAAAATGAAAATTCTGACATTTTCTATCACGTCACTTAAAACCTGTATGACCCTTTTTTTTCATCTGTGGAACACAAAATATGACCCCCCTTTGGATACAATTAAATTTAATTAACAACTTTTATGATACTTTTATTGTGCTTTTGCATTCTGAAGCTCCAGTCCCCATTTACGTGTACTATACCTAAAAGAGTGGCAGGAATATTCTTCCAGATTTCTCCTTTTGTCTTCTTTAGAAGAAAGAAAGTCGTACGGCTTCAGAATGACATTAGGGTGAAATGACAAATTTTATTTTCGAGTAATATTTCTCTTTAAGATCACATTTCCCACCATTCTGTGACAGATCCGCATGAATGAAGAGTATTTCGTTCACAAGAATGTAATGAAGCTATGGCATTGTGTTATTTCATTTGTTATTAAAAATGCAGTACAGAAACAAGTAGAGTGCTTCTGCCAGGGTAGCTTGTATTGTAAATAAAACATGGCCATGGCTCCAGACGGCCATTAGCTGATGTTAACAACTACAGGGCTGTAGGCAGGCTGACCTTTCACTGCTGCACAATTTATGGGCACTGGCTGGCAGATCTCCACAGGAGCGCCCCTAGACTGGCACTTACAGAAGAGGAATAGCAGCAAGGGCGGACAGAATGTGACAGCCATGTCACCTTGAAAAAGCTTTGTTTCTTTGGAAACAAGTGTTATGCTGTAACACCTGTTTCCTATGTGTATGCATGCTTATTATGTCAGCATTACCTGGGGGAGTGCAGCACTGTTAGTCTGACCAAACTACTTAGTTATGCACATTACAATAATCCACAGAGGATAAGGATTTAATATTATTCCATTGAGACCACATCAGATTTTCCCTTTCAGTCCTCAAAAGAGTTTTGTTTTTTTGCCTCAACGACGCTATTAAACAAACTAATAGAATTATAGTAAGGCACCATGCAATAGAACTGTAATATCAATGAGGATGGGCGTTAAATTAATTAAAAATAATGTTAATGAATGAATAAATACATTGGAAAATCTGGCCATTTTATCTTACAGTGGCATGAGGCCAGAGGTTTTCAAATGGCAAAGGTTTACAGAAAAATGAAAATAAATCAAATTCAACTAATTAAATAATCAAATAATAAAAATATTCAATTAATAATAAAAATTAGATTTAAATAAATAAATAATCAAACAGTAAATTATTATAGTGGATAGGAAATTTTGATATATGAAAATAAATAATACAAATTAAATTCAACAAATTAAATTATCAAAAAATAAAAATATTCAAATAAATAATAAAAATTTGATTTGAATGAATGAATGAGGCGTTTATATAGTGCTTTATTGTGTATTGCTGTACACCCAAAGCGCTTTACAGTCATATGAGGGGGGGTCTCTCCTCAACCACCACCAGTGTGCAGCATCCACCTGGATGATGCGACGGCAGCCACAGGACAACGGCGCCAGTGCGCTCACCACACACCAGCTACAGGTGGAGAGGAGAGATAGAGCCAATTCAGTGGATGGGGATTATTAGGAGGCCATGATTGACAAGGGCCAGTGGAGAGAATTTGGCCAGGACACCCGAGATACACCCACATAGAATCCTCAAATCCACTCCGTTTTTTTTTTTAACAGTCTATGTTTAGGACCCACACAGACCACAGGGTGAGCACCCCCTGCTGGCCTCACTAACACCTCTTCCAGCAGCAACCTAGTTTTCTCAGGAGGTCTCCCATCCAGGTGGGCAACCAGTCTTGGGCTACAGGGTGATATGGCTGCGGCATTTAAATAAATAATTAACAGTACAGTACTATAGTGAATAGGAAAAGTTGATATGATATGATATATGGTACTTTATTGCCAGACTGAGTGTAACGTTTTTCTTGCATGACAATGTCATGTTATGTAATTATGTAATACACATTTTCCAAATGATATTCAATACATTGGTCCCAATTTATATTAGGTGTCTTTAACTACTATGTACTTTGTAAAATAATAATAATAATAACAACAACAATAATAATTGTTTGGTACAAAGTATCTGCTGTGTTCATGTTGTGTTGTAAAACACTTGCTGCTATTGAGGTGAGATAATGTTACGGTTAGGGACAGGTTTGGTGGTATGGTTGGGTTAAGGTATAGGGGGTAGAGACAACAGTGTAATTACAAATGTAACAACAAATTAATTACAGATGTAATTACAGAAAGGTATTTTTAATGTAAAAACAAGTATGTACACACGAAGTGCATTGTATCAAATAAAAGTACACAGTAGTTTACATTACATTACATTTAGTCATTTAGCAGACGCTTTTATCCAAAGCGACTTACAAATGAGGACAATGGAAGCAATCAAAATCAACAAAAGAGCAATGATATACAAGTGCTATAACAAGTCTCAGTTAGCTTAACACAATACACGTAGCAAGGGTTTTTTAAAGAATATAATAAAAAGAAAACAGATAGAATAGAAAAAAAATAGAGCAAGCTAGTGTTCGAGGTCTTTTTTTCTTTTCAGTTCAAGTGGCATATTAAAGACTGAAACCCCCTAGGGTAGAAAATATCTTCAAATTTACACACGATATCATTGATTCATTTTTGAATATCACCAGTAGGTGGCAGCAGAGGTGTGTTATTGTGACATTGTATTAACTTGAAAAAAATGAATAGGTCGCTAAAGGTAAACCCTCTTTAGCGTAACTAAACAGACTTTGATTGCTAAGACAACATACGTGATATGAATTATTTTATAATTAATTATATTAAGTAATATGGCAAGATATTATTCAGGCGCATGAAATAATACCATCGTCATCATAGGCTCAATGAGATCTGTTGCCCAGCAATGCGACCTTAAATCGGTGGGCGTGGCTTTCCGTCGAAAAGCCTGCGCCGATTGGCCGAATCCATAGGTGTGTCAGGAGGTGTGCGCTGTCGCGTCCGGGACGGGCGAGAGCTCGACTGGTGTCAAGAGAGATTTGACAGCAGAGGTTGCGGTGAATTTTAAATAGGACGTTTGAGGAGTACTACAGCCTCCCTCGCACCACCGAGCTGAGTGTTGGCAGTGTCACAGAGCCCGTGTGTTTTATTCCTGCCTGCATGGCGGCCTGGGATTGGGAGGTAGACGCGCAGCTCTTGTAAACAAAGCGCTTGTGTAACATTATGATCATGTTTTATCCGGTTTTATGGCCGTAATTACTGTAATCGTAGGCTTTTAACTGGAGTAAAGTAAACATTCACATAAGTCTTATCACATACTCTGTAAAGAACAATACATGCGTTTGCTAGAATTTATCAAGATTTTAACTCTTGCTGGTACTGTGTTGCATTTACATGCACTCGGTTGGTCTTTAAATCTTTACACTGAGTTAGTTAGTTGGTTGTTATAGTGATATTGTACGAAGTATCTTGCAGCATTTTTCCCCACAGTGTAAACACTAACGTTAATGTAGTAATGCGAACTAACATAATCATGCACACTTGTGTATCACTTATAATTTCATAAAATATTACTAATGTAATAGTTAAACTCAATTGAAATTGAATTCTGTTGTTTAGAATTCCAGTTAGAACAGTATAGTAGATGTATTTCTATTTTATCTAGGCCTAAATAAATAAGTAGTTTCCAAGTTACCTTGGTTAACCTTTTTAACCATTTAAGAACATAAAATGAATTAAGTGGATTTATAATATAATATTTACCAGTCAAATTTTATGTTATGTTCAACAAAAAATATTGCCTTCGTTTTCTATTACAGCTTGTAACATGTAAAATATTTTATGAGGAATATGTCAGATCCACAGCATGCTGGCTTGGAAAGTTTAAAAGTTTTGAAGTCATCTGACCTGTGCAGCAGTGTTATTGTAGTATCACTGAGATACTATTGTAGTTATTAATATTGTATGAATATAAATATATATAATGAAAATATTTTTATATTTTAATTTTAGTTCATGTTTAGTCAAATTTTGTTGTGTTTTTGTCTTTTTAATTAGTTTTTTAATGTCTGTGTAGATTTTGTTAAGTAGGTTTATATATATATATATATATATATATATATATATTATTTTATTTCAGTTAATGTTTATTTTATTAAAAGTAACAGATTTTTTTTAGTTTTATATCGGTTGCAGTGGCACCCCATAAATTAGACCCACTTGCTCACTGTCCCTCATCTTGAAGAATTCATTAATTAATAATTTTGTACGGTAATGTAATGTAATATTTTCAGTTCCTGTACATTGGCATGCTCTGCAACTAAATGAGAACCCAGCGGCGTTCAGCGCAGCTTTTGTAGCCCACATATCAGTGACTACAGGGCCACATGAGCTTGTCCATTCGGTCCTGTTAGGTAACATGCTAAAAGGGTCACACATATCTTAACGCCCCGTGTCATCTTCCCAGTGTCTGACATCATTGTGTGGGCTCTGAGAGTCTCAGAGGTTTGAGGTTTTTCAAATCAGTTTATGAACGGTTCAGTTATATTTTTTGTATATGTGATATTCACATTATTCACATTTCATGTGATTCATTATATAGTGTATATACAGAAGCATTAATGCCCCTTTAGGCAACTTTCAAATTAGTTCCCTTAAAATTAAGTAATTTTATAGCCTTTTGCATAATCTTATCTCCGTGGCCAAGTTTCTTTCTCTTTCACCCTGTTGGCTTTTGTCAAACACTTTTGATTATCATATATCATCTATAAGATTAGGTTAATGCAGATTTATGGAGAGATTATCATATTTAATTTGTCGTAACGCAGATACAGACTTTTGGCCATGACTGTATCGGCAGGTTAAATGATAAAGAAACATCTGGCCTACATGGATGCACCTGCTTCAGTTGCCCCATGTTTGCATTTCAGAGTCCATGTGAAGCCGTCTGCCTTGACGTAATGTCTCTCTGTAGGCTGAATGTACTAAACAGACAGGATGTTTCCTGGGCGTGTGGAATGAAGACACTCCTGCCCTATATTGTTGAAATCCCAGCTGTCTTGATTCTAAGCGCATCCATCCAGACATTAATGGTCTCTTATCTGATGCGTTCAGCTCGCTGCGGTGTTCGTTTATTGGTGTAAGGCCAGCCAAACTCCTAAACGAAGAGAAGCCCGCATGCAGGGTGTGTGTGTGTGGATTCGGACTTTGGCCCTGGAAGGGGTGCGTGTATTTATTGGCAGTTGGTAGAGCAGAACCGTGAATCGTGATCTGGTAAGCACTGATTTCATTCTGCTTTGCTCTGCTGTGCTTATGTGATGATTTGAATTGTGCTGTCTGCTTTAAGCAAAGGCCTCACAGCCATTGTGTGCATTTCTGCCTCGACACAATTTTTCCTTAACGGTGTGCTGCTTTGTTGTAGCTATATTTGAGTCAATGGCAAATAAGAGTGATTTAAACATTTGCGTTTAAACCATGTTTTTGTTGCTATTCACATTTTTAAGAACTTTTTGCCGTTTTTAGGAAAAAGTATTTCCTTACACTTTGAATACATGCGAGTCTACACATCTTGATCATTATTTTTAGTTGTTAAATATATTTTTTTCAATATAAAGTTTTTTTTATATGATAATTATTAATTCAGAAATATAATTGTTTTGGAGGAGTTGTATTATGTGACATTTTACAAGCTGAACTAACTTGTGATAAAATGGTTTTAAGTTTCTAAAATGTCACAATCATGAGGGTCTTTAAGGGGTCCTGACAAGATTATAATTACTAAAATCTTTTTTCTAAGAAATAATAATAATAATTAAAAAATATATTAATTAAGAATAAATAATGCTAAACTATTTTCTTTCTTTCTTTCTTTTTTTAATAAAGATTAAAAAAATCTTTATTAAAAAGCCCCCCCCCCTAAAACTAAATGAGTTTTAATTAAAAAAATTTTTTTTTAAATCTGATCACAGAAAAGGTGTATTCAATGTTTCTATCAAATGCATTTTAATGCATTTTTGATTAATCAATAGAAGAAAAAAAATCATGTCATTGACCCTTTACCAACACTGAGCAAATAGACTTGTCTTTATTTTTGCCAAATAGTCTTAACCCACATCCAATATGGAGAGATATATTTGTTGCACGTGCAGCTAGGAAGACGTGCATTTTATCATGTGCTGAATCAATATTTCTTTCAAAAACCAGCTCACGTATGGTCTGTGGTCACAGATTGATGTTTATACTTCAGATCTGTTGTTTCTATCCAGTGGGTAGAGATTCTGCTTGGTCATTGCTAGTTGGCTGATGTAGTGGACATTTCTACACAGATGTGTTTGCTTTACGTCTGTTGTCTTATGCAGTTTCGCAGTGAGTCCAAGGCTGGTTCTGAAATAATGATGGGGAACACATGATCAATTTGGCCTGTCTGTAAAACACTGCACTACTATGTTTTTGGGATAGGCTTAAGTACATTGACATTCATTGTCTTCTTGTGGATCTAAAATACCCTCAGGGACTGCTGTATTGTTACTACACGGTCAAACCGGACAGTCAGTAAAGATCAACCAGGAAGGAGGGGGTAAATCAGCCTGTATTGGTCAGCTGAGACCCTTCACAACAGGCCTCCTCCTCTTCAGCACGTAGGCTATGTGTGTGTCCTTCTCTAGCCAGAATGAGAAACACACAAACCTTGCTCTGCTCTGTTTTGCAGTAAAAATATCTAAACATAATTAAAACGAGATACATTTACTCGACAAGCAAAATTACATAATATATATATATATTTATTGAGAATTGTATCTCTTTTTTTCCAGTTATATTTCAAGAGTAGACTTAATTCATTAATAATAAAGTTTTTTAAACATAGCTTGATACCATATGCAGATTTATCTTGTTTTACGGGAAAATAAGACAAAATATTTATTTATTTATTTTTTGTACAACCGTTCCGTGACTCAGTCTAGTTCGGTTTGTTTAATAGGACTCATTGAGGATTCCTCTTGCGCATTCATGTGTTATTGTTCGGCTCTTGTTTTGTAATGTGCGCTCATCAGTGGATATAACATCTGTTAGGAACAGGGAGGTGTTGAATCCTATGCATCCGTTGAGATATTTGTGTAGAATTGAGTGTAGTTTGGAATCGTCTGTGAGGTTTGGTTTTGCTGGTTAATGGCTCAGCTGGTCTCCATGGGCACTTTTCCATTACAGCAAGCTGGCGTCTCTCCTACACTTCGTTTGGCTCCCGCTCGTTGTCATGAGGCTCAAGTCATGCGTATGTGTGCCCATGTGAGTGTCTGGGTTTACACTGAATAAATATAGTAGCTTCAGCTTATCGCTCTCTGTCTCGCACCCTAATACACAAATGCAGTCGCACTCAAACGCATGGTACGTGCATAATCTTGTTTACTGTGAATGGCTGGCTTCTTACACTGCAAAAAATCAGATCAAATAAATACAAATAAATCAATTGTCTAGTTTCTAGTAAAAATAAACCATAAAATACATTTAAATAAATACATTTAAGTAAAGTAAATTTGCTTGAAAAGTTAAAATTTAACTATTTACACACACACACACATATTTTAAAAGTAAATTTGCTTGAGACAGTTGCATTTAAGGTATAAAGACAAATCTAAATTTGTATAAATATTTGCATAAATCTAAATATTTACATAAAAATGCAAAAATATTTGTTTAAGCATGAGGCTTATGTTAAACAAGTAACTTTTAAACATGTTTATATATTTATATTTATATATGTTTATATTAACTGTAAAACAAGACCAAAAAATTATTTTCTTTTCTTTTGCAGTGTTTTGACTAATAATATACAGTCAATATACTATAATCCTTCTGTAGTCAGTATATATATATATATATATATATATATATATAATTTAATACACAATATTAGCATTGATTACTAGTCGCTGGATCAACTTTCACCGTGGACGAAGCGGAGTCCAGTCCGGGGTCGTCACATGTGGTTGCCGCAAGCCCGCCGGACGCTCCTTCGTCGAATCCGCTGGCCGCGCCGTTCTCCAGCCCGCCCGCCACCGCTCACTCTAGCCCGCCGTGTGTTCGTTGTGAAACGAAACTACTTTGTTTGGTCTTCCAAAAGAGGACACGACTAGAAATCAGTTTCATTTAAAGGATTTAAATAGTAAATAATGTATATAAAAAACGGATTACGACAATGATTTTTTTGCAGTTTAGTAACTAATATGCAGTCGTTATGGCAGTCCGTATGTTTCTCCAGTGGGAACGCTTGTTGCTGCACTTGACTGTGCACGTTGTGTCACAAGCAGAATCAGTTCTGAGAGAGCGGACGGCTATGTGCATTGACCGAAGGATCACGCTGTGCTCAGGTTACAGCTGGAGACAAACATATGTAAACAGCCGGGTAAGATTTTTGCTGTTCTGCTTCAGGCCAATCTACAGAGCCGAGAGATCAGGCAGAACTTTAGAAAGCTGGACGGCTTCCCCTCGCAGACAGAGCTGCAAACTGGGATTCTCTGCCAAGAGCTGATTTATGACGGGATTCTGCAGGAACAGCTTGTCTGCCGTCAGTAGTCAATGTTAGTGCAAATTTTGTCAGCTTTTTAGCACGGGCGGTACTGCAACAGAGGGAAAGTATTTATTTATTTTTTTTCCTTTTAGAAGTGTATTGTTGTTTCTTCCAAAAAACAGTGATCTGTTACAGAAGGGTTTGAATGCTGAGTCTGGCATTGGTTAGCCTTCTCCATGTGACTGCTGTAAGAAATTAAAGGGTTGAGTGGAATGGCATTTCAACCGTTGTCCACGAGACCCCTTGAGCTGCCATAAAAATTCCCTCGAGAGCATCTGAATCCATTTGAGTAGTTAATTCTTTTGTAGAGGATTTTTATCTCCTGCACACACTTGGAACATCCGGCCATAGTGTGTGCGTAAATGATACCATAATATCAAGCAAATTAAGTGCATCAAAATAACTGTCCTGCAACCGCTTGAAACTACTTAGCAGCCGCATAACAACGCCCTGGAACCCTCTCACAGTTTCTTTGAAAAACGTATAAATTGAAACTAATTTGATTTTACACTGAAATATCTTTTGCACCCAATCTTCAGGTCACTTCAGTCGATGGAGCACTTGGTCTTTGGTCGGACTCTTTGATCAGTTCACATGGCAGCACACTACAATGATAAAACAGGCCAAAGCCTTTGAAACAGTGCCCTCATGTCTGAATAAAATGCTGCCATATCTGTGCCTGGGGTTTCCTTGGCAACCCTCCTTGAACATGTTACTTCTGCCACTGGTTTAGCGTTGCTCTGAATGGAACTTATTCTAGTTACTGAGCCCAGGCTGCAGTTTGCATACAAAGTATATATGGATACTCCATTTTTATTATCACAATCAAATCGTGCTGTTTAAAATTAATAAAATAATGAATAAAATAACCATTAAAATGAATTATTTTAAAATAACTGCTTTTATTTCTTTATTTTTATGAATTGATAATATTTTTTGATGGCAATGGTCTATGTATGTATTATTTTAGTATACTAATATACATAATTTTTTAAAATAATTTTTCAGTAAAATAAATATCTTTTTTTATTTCAATGTAAATAATAAAAAGTAAATGCAAAACTATGAAAAATGATCTTTTACCATTAATGGTAAAAAAAAAAACAACGAACCATTGTTAGTTGCTTTTATTTGCGCAAACTGCAAAAAAAAACAAAAAACTTTTTTTCATTGTTTTTTGCATGTGTGCCCATTACACCCAGTGTAATATGGGTACTGTGTCTTACAGCCTTTTAAAAGATATGAAACATATTTTCTTTACTCAATCTTCACTTTTCTTGCCATTGTTTTGTCTTTGCAAACTGATGAATGATTCAAAGCTTGCCGTGGTCCAGCGCCATGGTAGACATGCCGAGCCTGTACAGTCCCTTGTGCCCGCTGGGCGATCCAATTCTGGACAGCCCTCTGTATGGAGAGCTCATTGGTGACATGGAGGTGCTGGAGGACATCTCTCAGTCTCTCAGCGACGATACCTTCAACTCCCTTCACGTACTGGACTACCAGAGCAGCAACACAGCAGCAGATAGCTCAACTGTCTTAGGTAGAGCATATGGACATAAACACAATCCTAACAATAATCCTAATCAGGCTTCTTAAAAAAAACTTCAATTAACACCAGTCTGTCAAATTAAAGAATTAAATATTTGCATTCATTTTATGGTTCATTTGTGCCTTTAAAAATTATATTATTTTTTCATCTGTGTCAGTGTAAATCATATAAATATATACATATTGCCCGTGGGTGTGTTTGTCTTGTAGATGTCTTAACACCTGCATCGAGTCCGTCCTCAGAAGTGTTTGCGTCCAGCACGATTCAGGACGAGAACTCCTCTGGTTCCTTGGCCCTCGAGTGCCGCGTCTGCGCCGACCGGGCCTCAGGTTTCCATTATGGAGTGCACGCCTGCGAAGGGTGCAAGGTAAGCGTGCACGCAAAGTGCACAGTGGAAAATTCTCACACGAGTGCCAAGAGTCAATACCGAAACGCCCTCAACTTTTTCCTGCTTGGCTTTAGTGCAGACACTGTGTTATACTTTCATAACCACAAACCTATCCGGGACAGAAAACACTTGAGTGCACACACCGGGGCCGACAGACAGCACATGAGTTTCTCTAGTATTTTCATAGCTGCTTTTGCAAAAAGACTGAGAGTTCCCCCGAGGCTTGTTCTCTCTTCGTACATGTGAGGTGAAGCGTGTACAAGAGCTGTTGCTTCATGCGGTGCATGTCAAATTCATCAGAAGGACTGCGCAAAACACACCCCAGCTGAGGCTGGGTCACGGCCTGGGTCTGGGTCACGCAGTTCTTATTCCTTTAAAGTTAACTACTGCCAGCCCAGTTATTGCCATGTGCCATGTGTTTTTCTCTAGCAAGAGCAGACTTTGACCATTGGCAACCCTTAGGGTGCAATTAAACCAGGACAATTACAATAAGGTTTATTGCCGATGCGGTTTACCACTCTTTCACGTTGTACTTTGGTGAGACCAATTAAAATATACTTTATAAATAATTTGTCTTAAGGAATCATGGTAGTTGTAGTTATAGTCAAGCTACTTCCAAAATTAAATGCTAATTAAAAACTATTTCCGAGAATTTAAAGGAACTCGCTGTGGACCGACTGAGTTCATTATTTGGTTCAGGTCACTGGTTTTGAGCTTCATGCGCCTCTGGTTTAACTAATTTTCATGTTAGTTAATTATATAGTTTGACATTTACACAGTGTCCTAGCTACGAACAATGTGATAAAGTAACAAGTGCTAAAAGCTTTACTTTCACGTAAATCTGCAACAAGGACAGAACGTTTTGTATGTCTCCCGTTTTTTTTGTTTTGTTTTTTTGTGGCATTGCACTCTGTAGCCCCACCCAGATTTAAATTTCATTGGTCTAAAAAAAACGTGTATATTACAAATCAAATGTATTCTGAGACATTTGAGGTGTGTAAAACCTAGAACAGTTGTCACTCAGCTGATGGAGGACGCTTCCATTCCATAAGTACGCAATTTAAAATCCAGCAGGGGCTACACGGGCCACCTAACACCTTGGCCCCTGGAACACTGTTAAGTATGATATAATTTGTTTATTCATGTTTGGTCACAATTAGTCTCAGCCTCAGACGTCATGCCCACGGACCGTTGGCTGAACGTCTGATGCATACGGCACACAAAAGTGGAAACACATCAGGAGTTTTGAAGTGGTCATCGGATTGGTTGAATTATACAGGATTTCCGGGAGACGTGTGTGTCGCGTTCTTTAACGTTCCGCCTGGAAACAAAGATGCCGTGGCTCCAAACCCACTCACGAAAGAAGAAAGCCGTCGTGTTTACAACTGTGACGATGAGCACTTATCAGGATCAACTAAACGCTGGATTCTTAAAAGTATGTGAAATATTTCAAGTTCGCGGCATAGAATCTTTAAAATACGTCAGAGAGTTTTACACACCGGTCTGTTATTGTGGCGACATTTCCACGCCC